TTCAAAGGCAAACAACGACATTCAAATCATTAATAATTGGCAAGACTCTAGAACAGGCAGATGGATTAGGGTAGACATCAAACACAAAGAAGAACAACTAGCACTACTAGCCATCTATGGCCCTAATTCCCCACAGGAAAAAAAAAAACTTCCTACATGACATTGAGAATCTAATCCCCCCCCATACTCACACAATCCTAATGGGAGATTGGAACTCCGTTCAAGAAATTTCACTAGATAGAATCTCAAACTCAGCTGACCCTTCTCAACAATCAAATAGCATAGACCTAGTAAACTTCATCACAAGTAACAACCTATTAGACCCTTTCCGTCTAATGCACCCAGAAGAGAAACTCTTCTCTTGCGTGAGAAAAACCTCTCACAATAGAACCTCATTTTCTAGAATAAATTTTTTCCTTATATCCGAATCCCTAACGGGAACCGTCCAGGATAGCAAAATAGAAAGAACACCTTACCACAACGGGTTCAACCACAAGCCCATCGAACTAGATCTCCGATTTTCCAAAGTTGGTTACTTGGGAAAAAGTTTCTACCGCTTCAACAACGCTCTACTAACTAGCCAAGCTTTCCAAACTGAACTGAAAAACATATTAGCCTGCTCCAATCAGATGGCGGAAGATGAGGACATCTACATGCAGTTCCCAAAAATCATCAACTTTATAAGCTCAAAAGTAGCCCTGATATCAAGAAGGCTGGCCTCGCAAAGAAAAGAGAGGGAAGAATCGCTGAGAAATGCTATAGACATAGCTGAACTCAATCTAAGGCGTAACACCAGCTCAACTTTCTATGCAGAACTCTACTCCAAATCAAAAGAAGAATTAAACGAGTGGACTAAACTGAAACTTAGAGGCCTACAATTAAGAGTTAGAGTTAATGACTGGGAATTGAACGAAAAAATGACCAAACACTTCTTCCAAAAAATCAAATCCAACTCAAGAAACGCCAAGATAGAAAGCCTCAAAGACAATAACGGAAACCCCACCTCAGAAACCACCCAACTCATCAACATAGCAGCCAATTTCTATAAAGAATTATATTCTAGCAAAAACCCGACGGGAACACACAACGAAGTCACAAGCGCCAGGAACAAATTTTTATCTTACTTGAAACACTCCCTATCTAAAGAAACAGTAAACCAACTAGAAAAACCCATCACACTAGACGAACTTCACCAAGCTCTTAAAGACATGAAACCCAACAAAGCTCCAGGAAGAGATGGCTTATCCAAAGAATTTTGGCTTGCAAGCTGGCACACCTTAGGACCCCTCTTCCTACAATTTCTAAACAAAGCATGGCCAAAAGAATCCCTAGGACTAGATCTAAGTACAGGAGTAGTAACACTTCTCTATAAGAAAGGAGATAAGGAAAATATCAGGAATTACTGACCCATCTCTCTTCTCAACGTATCATACAAAATCCTAGCAAAATTGCTTGCTACAAGAATCAACCGTATCACAGGAAATTGTTTTCATCTTTACCAAACAGGATTCATTCTTGGAAGACTAATATTGGACAATGTAATGGCACTAAACGAATCCATCAGACTAATTAAGCAAAAAAAAATAGCAGCAGCCATGCTGTTTTTCGATTTCGAGAAAGCATACGATCAGGTCAATTGGGACTTCCTTCAAATCTGCATGAAAAAAATGGGGGTAGGACCAAACTTCCGCAAATGGGTAAGAATACTATACAACGACGCTCAAGGGATAGTGCAAGTAAACGACTTCTTATCAAATCCGTACAAAATGACAAGGTCAGTACGACAGGGGGACCCATTAGCAGCCCCAATCTTTCTTTTTGTAATGAAGGCCATAGCAGCCTTCCTTAGAAAGGACACCTCAATTGAAAGATTAGAGGATCTAAAGGATGGAAACGGCCGCCCTCTTCACTTCCCAACCACCCTTCTATTCGCGGATGACCTCACAGTCCTAATCAGAGCCACTAACTCATCCTTCCAAACACTGACAAGAGCAATGCAGGCCTTCCAACTAGCATCTGAAATGAAGATAAACTGGCCAAAAACAATAGGATGGTGGCTCCCAAACACACCCCCTCCCACTGAAGTCACACCCGAGGGCATGCAATGGACTGATCCAACACTACCAATCCGATTCCTGGGAATCCAGATCAACATAAACGGTTGTCACCCCTCCTCGGCTGCCTCCCTACTCTCGGCGATGATTAACAAACTACACAGATGGCAACGGACTCACACATCTTTATTAGGCAGGGTCCTAACTTTGAATAACTCGGTATTAGCCATGATGTGGTGCGCCGCCTCAATTTGGTTTCCCTCTCCAGACTTCCAACAACAAATCAGGAAAAGAGCAGCAGCATATCTATGGACAGGAAACCCAGACAAACAACACTTCATCCATAAGGTAGCATGGCAGATAGTCACTCTTCCCAAAGAAAAGGGTGGTTTAGGCCTTTTAGATCCAACACGCCAAATCCAAGCCTTACAAACCAAATGGATTCTAAGACTGACTCTCCAGAATAATCTACAATGGACACCCTTAGCGCTCAATCACATCATGAGCCTGACACCCTTCAAATCCCCCACAAATATGTCTGGCCTGTTCTGGATTTTTAATAAGCATTGGCCTCTTCCAAGATTGGCCAACTCCCCTAATCCCCAGATAACTTCAGACGAAGGAACAGACAAGGAACCCTCCAAGTCTTTCTGGGAACTACTGCTGCACACCTGGAGGAAAATCTTCCCAGAAAACAGAATAGGCCCAAAAAGAAAAGATGAAGTTCAAAGACAACCCATTTTTGGCAACCCTTGGATCAAAGACGACAAAGGTGCAAGTCTCTCCCTCTCTAAAGCAGACGCCAAATGGGGCCACTGGCTAGAAAAAGGTATATGGCAAATCCAGCATTTGTGGAACGACTCAACAAATAATTGGAAAGAGGTTAAAACCCTCAGAACCATCCTTAAAGGGATTCACAACCTAAAAGAAAATCTTCTAACTATTATAGAAAGTATCCCAATAGAATGGAGACGCTTACTTAAATCGGAACAAAAATGGTTATCCGGGGATTGGGCTAGTCTGAAGAATCAGACCAATATAACAGAAATCCTAAAGGTAACAAACAGAAAAACCACACAATAATGAATGGATAACGTGCAGCATCTACCCCTTAGAGGAACCAACCAATCCAGTGAGCATCATCAATAAGGAAAGCAGAGCTGAGGGTGCTTTCAAAATGAACCAAATAAGAAGGATAAGAGTAATAGAAGGAGACCAAAATAGAGTATTCAGGCCAGATACAGATATCCGCCACCTAGAAGTAGACCCCACTGAATGGTCTTGGAGCACGTCCAAAGGCCCCCACACAACAACACGAAGATACAAATTAACTGACTACTCTCCTAAACTGGGTTACAAACTGTTTTCCACTCCCACCTCTACGTCAGAAATAGTACTTAAAAGATGGCAAAAGGAAGAAATCACACTCACCAACGCGAACTTCAAACCCTCCTGGAATGCAATATTCTGCATGAGACCGGTAAAACTGGCCAGCCTATTTTGGCTTATTACATACAGAGCTGTCCCAGTGAACCATTGGCTATCACAAAGACGCAAGAAAGACGACAGATCAGAACAGGAGTCATGGTGCAAAGTCTGCAATTCACAAACCACAGAAACACTCAATCACTGTTTCATAGAATGCGAGAAGACCCAAATCCTATGGAAGGAACTAGAACAAACATGGGCCAAACACTCAAATAAAACAGTACAAATCAACCCGGGAACTCTTTATCTGGATACAGAACAATCCCCAGAATTTAAAGGCTTCGACCTATTCTTTTTCTCACTAATCAGAAAAACCTCACTGTGGGCAATCTGGAAAAGGAGATGTGACCGGACCTTCGATGATCACCCCACTAACCATGAAAATCCCCTAACCACTATCAAACATCTTATAGAAACCGAACTCAACGCCCTCTGGAAAAAAACACAGGTAAGAATACAAAACACCCCAGATAAAAAACTTGAGATTATTAAAAGTTTTACGACAGGAAAACTAGGAGGAGGAACGTTAGGAACAATAGAAAAAATCAGCCTGGTCTTTAAGGACGGGCTCATTCTATCAACTCAATCCCTTACATCCGCTCCACCACCAGAAGTCCAACACCACCACAGTCCAAATGACAATCTCGACTTACACATCTAATCATCCGATCATCCGAGAAGAAACCAAATTCCACTCAGACCTTATCCCAAACGAAACCAGGAACAGAAGAAAGGACAGCAGAGAAACCAACATCCAGACCCGTCCGCTAACTCGATACCAACAGGTTACTGAAAATCTTCAATCCCAAACAGACAAAATTCTCACTAACAACAACAGGTTAACCCAGGCAAGAGAGAGAGGGAAGACACAGACATATTGTAGAAGAAAATAGCCAGTCAACCTACCTGTAAGTTCAAACAAGAGAGTTAGTAACGAGAAGGTCAACAGGCCACTATTACAGTTCTAGCGATCATTACCAATCTGACAGTCCACTCGACTGAGAGGAACTCCACGTGGTTAAAAGACCAGCTCAGCAAGGTCCAATTAGGACAAGTATCTGAGAAAGCTCCCCTTTAGTACAGGCTAACTTAGGCAGGGGTGAAGTTCGGTACATCCTTCTTACGAGAAGTAATCAATGCCGGCGTCCGGGCCTCCACACCAGAAGGGGGAGGAGCGTGAGTGAGTATCTTATGTATTATCATGACTTGCCGGGGGAATAGGAACCGGACTGACGCTCCCCAGAATGGAAAAGGAGCCAGAACCCTAGGGTTCTGTTTAAAAAAAAAAAAAAAAAAAAAGGTTAGGTAGAATGAAAGGGCTGAATTTAAAAAAATGTAAATTAGGCTCCTTATGCTGGTAGAATTCTGCAAATGCCTCCTCCACCCTCCATGTGATACACTTCATGCTTTCTTGTTTCCTCCTTGACACTTTGGGTTTTCCCCTTTGTTGTATGTTAGCATGTGTGCGGGCTGTGTCAGTTGTGATTTGTGCAGGCTCATAGTGAAGACTGTGGCGTGGCAGCAGCAGCACGTTTGAGGTAAGAACTTTGTACTGTAAAGACCTGCAAAAACACAGACTGAAAACACTGCTGATTTCTGAGTTTTGCAGCTGGAATGTGTGCTTTGCTGAGATTCCCGCATTTTGCTGAGTTCTCTGAGTTTGTGTGTGTTCATGCGCCTGTCTGAGTGCCTGTTTGCCTGAGTGTGTGTGTGGCCCACCAGGGCACTTGTTTGTTTGGGAGGCCCACGGGGCCAGTACTTACCTGCGGCTGTGACTTTGAGGGTTGCAGTGGGGAAACACTCAAGTGGCGGGGTAGCTTAGGGGCACACTCAAGTATCGGTAGGCTAGGCCCGTAGTACTTGAATACCAGTAGGCCGAGCAGAAGAAGACAAAAAGTTAGTTTGTGTGAATTTTAGAGAGTCTGGTAGCCCTAGGTCTAGGTACCAGTCCTGAAGTCCGAGTCTAGGGCCTGTAACCGACGATATCAGACCTGTAATGACCAGTAGGTGGACCTCATGTTGTCCCAGCAGCAAGAGGGAGATTCGGAGATTGGTTCTGGTTCAGCCATTCATTGTCATTATTATTATTTATTGTTGAATAAGGTGGAGGTCATGGCTATGGTGGACCTCATGTTGTACCTCATGGCTATGGTGGACCTCATGTTGTGCCAGCAGCAAGAGGGAGATTCGGAGATTGGTTCTGGTTCAGCCATTCATTGTCATTATTATTATTAATTGTTGAGTAAGGTCAGGGGAGACAAGGAGGAGGAGATTGATTGGCGAGAGAAGGGGGATTTGTCATTAGTCTTTTGCTGGTGTACATCTTCTTCATCTTCTTTTTTTCTCATTTCTTCTTGTTGCGAGGATTGAGCCCTCGCATAACCCTTTTCGGGCTTACACACGTTCTGGGCTGGGGCCCCAGCAAGCCTTGTGCTTGCTCTAAGTGAAGGCGGGCCTGGAAATCCACCTGAGGCCCATTTTTGTCATTTCTGCATGTGGGGTACCAGACAGTTGCGGCACGCCAGTTTGTTACAGAGCAACGTGAGCCTTCCCTGGCTCTTTCTGGAAGGAGCAGCTACAAGGTGCAGTTGAGCCCAGGGTTCGTCCGGTTGAGGCCCTGGGCACACGCATCCAGAGGCCGACAGGTCACACGGCGGCCGCGGATCAATGAGAATGCAGTTGGTTCATCACACACTTGCCACGAGCCAATGAGATCGCAGCAAACACTTGGAGCCTCGTGGGCAACTGCACGGGGCCCAGGCCAGTATCTGAAACTGGGCCTGGGCGCAGATACTGGGGCTCGACTGGAAGCTACTGGAAACTCACCCAGCCAGGCCCAGGGCACGACGACCAGAGCTCACTTTCAATAAAGGAAAGTGAGCACAACAGTCAGAGCACATTGTGGCTCTCAAGTCAAGGCGGCAGCGCTGCTGGATTACTGGCTGGCTGGCCGCTGGGCGAGAGGCTGGAGGGCGCACACAGGCGAAAGTGGTGAGGGGCGCAGCAGGAGCTGCGAGCGCCAGGCAGCCATAGCCAGGCTGCTGGGCGCTGGTTCATTGTGGGCGATGGTGGTCCTTGGGTGCGGAGAGGAACACTGTGGGGGAAACGAGGTGAGGTAAGAGAGGAGAAAGAGACACGTACCTGGTATTCGCAGCTGTCTACATGAGTGACGTCGGCTTGTACTTTGGTCTTCAGCTTGGAAGTGACTCCGGTTGCATGTCGTAGTGGTAGGCTAGTACAGTTATCTGGTAGTGTAGGCTGGGCACTGAGCGACATATCAGAAGAGTGACATTGTCTGCTTTGTTGCTGGTGGCGAGAAGGGATGTCCACGCCGTTTGAGATGATTCATTGTATTACTCTTGTTTGACACTTATCTCAGTGCTTGTTGCTTTCAGCTGGGTACACGACTATCTGGTTTACAATGTGATGTTGCAATCTGGTTTTCTGTCTATCGCTCTCGCTCATTTTTCCTTCCATTCTTCCTTTGTCTTAATCTCTTGTCAAGTTCTTTCATTTCTTTTGCAACCTGCATAGAAGTCAGGGTCATTGTAGCTGCATTTGGTGCAAATTTCAGTCTGGATACATATATTTTATTCAATCGGAGAAGGTTCTCTCATCCGGTTGGTAAGCTCTCACGTCTGGGGGCTCTAGGGCTATGGGTACAGTATTAGGTTTCACTCGTCCTCACCTTCTTCCTGTCTCCTTACGAATGTCCCTCATTTTTCATTTGAGATGTAGAGCAACTTTTTCTTCCTCTTTGATGATTACAAAAAAGGTGTCTTGTCCGGTTGATAAGTCTGGGTGATCTAGGGCGATGGTTATTTTATAAGGTGTCACGCATCCTCACCTTCTTCTTCCCTCCTTACCAATGTATCTCGTTTTTCATTTGAGATGTAGAACAGGGCGATGGCTATTTTATAAGGTATCACTCATCCTCACCTTCTTCTTCCCTCCTTACCAATGTACCCCGTTTTTCATTTGAGATGTAGAACAACCTCTTCTTTCCTCTTTGATGGTTACAGAAAAGGCTGTCTTGTCCGGTTGGTAATCTCTAAAGTCTGGGGATCTAGGGTTATGGCTATAGTATTAGGTGTCACTCGTCCTCACCTTCTTCTTGTCTCCTTACCAATGTACCTCGTTTTTTATTTGAGATGTAGAGCAATCACTTCTTTTCCCTTTAATGGTTACAGAATATATAGTGTAAACTTTAAAGCAGACAATAGAGCGTGTATGAAATGGTTTTCAGTGTTTTCACCACAGTTGTGTAACAGACGCAGATCCCAGGGCTCGATCCCTAGACCTCACCCACCTTGTTGTACAGTACCCTTGGACCCCTGTGTGGTTTGATTCCACGACCTGTTCCCGAAGTCGTCTCTTTGAGACTACTGTACATAGTTGGTCGCGAGGACTTGACCCGTAGACCTTAGTGTTAGCAGTCGTAGGCCAGTCCTAGGTCGTAGCTACCTAGGTCCAGTCTAGAAGGATCCGAAGTGGCTCTTCGTAGAGTCTAGTAGGTAGTCCGTAGTTGAGTCAGCAAGGGGCAGTCCTAGCACAGTCAGCAAAGGGGCAGTCCCAGTCCTACTTGGCCTACTCAGCAGTGTTCAGTCCTAGTCCTACCGGGACAGTGCACATCCTGGGCCTGGGCCAAGGCAGGCCAGACCACCGAAGAAACAAGTATAAATAAAAAGGCAGTCAAGGCATTCATTCATTCTGCCTGTGAGCCGTGCGGAAGTGCTGCTTGAGCGACTTGTGCATGGGAGGTCTGCAGGTGCCCGGAGAAGAAGAGGGCTGCGAGGGTGAAGAGCGGTCATAGCCGCTAGGTAGTAGTAGAGGGTTAGTAGGTTAGTGACGGCAGCCATAGCTGCCACGTCAGCAGTAGTGTTAGTGTTAGTGTGTGTGTGTGTGTGTGGGACATTCAAGGTGATCCTAGTAAGCACATGAGTGTGCGTGTGTGTGTGAACAAGTTGGTGGTGGTTACAGACGATCGGGTGGGAATTTCAGTTGGGCACTGATTGTGCCATAGCCATTGATGTTCGAGTTGACTTCAAACTGAATTCTTGTCCAAGTTCGCACATCTGAGTTTCTGTGTGGGCACTGTGCGCCATTGCAAGTTCTGCTGTTGATTCTGTTATTTGCAAGTCGCTGAGTCAATGGTATTTGTTCACATGCATGCTGAAGCGAAGTAAGCCGCATCTGATTGCAGTGTATGTGTATCTTTGTTTGACCATCTGCTGCAATTGCTTGTGTTCTTGGTAAGGCGTATGCTTTCCCTGATACGTTTTCATGCAATGCTGCTATGGCAAAATAGATAAAAGTTTATGTTGAGATCGTCGAGAAAGGGAATGAGTGCACTAATACGCATGCTTGTTTTCTGGCTGGAAGTTGCACTCCGACCTTTATCTGTGTGTTTTATACACCATCTAGTACCTTTCTGTTAAAGGAMAAAATYCATTGGCATRTGAACTCCATATTTGCTGCCACGTGCATGTACACAGTCAGAGTGGTCTTCCTTATCTCTCACACATGTGTGCGCACTATTGTGAGTGTGTGTGCGTGAGAGAGAGACAGAGGGGCTAGAGTGTATGACTGTTATGTCCAGCACAGTTTGAACTCATGGTCTGAATGTCAACATTGATATGTGTGTACCATTCAGTCACAATGCTGAATGGCAACAGGCAGGTTTTGATCGCACAAGAATGTGTGTGGAATCTCAGTGTGTGCTTTCTTAGGTCCTGAGATTGTTCCATAATGATGAGATCAGTCATGAAAAGGTCAAACGAGGTGACAGACATTATTGAGGACTACTTGGAGAGGAATCAAGAAAACCTCCACGGGTTTGATGATGTTGATATGATGTACTCGAGTTTGCCGCTAGAAAAGATAAGTTTGCAGATCACATCGGATAGCATCCAGCAAAGTTCTTCGCAAAAGGACAGGGTATGTCAATGATACCTCCTCAATACCCTTGCCAGCCCAGTCGTCCATCCCCATTTGTCCAGTCTTGGTTCTTCAGTCTTGACCATTGGACTTCCTTGTTGTCCCTGGTCCTTTTTTCTTCTCTTTGTGTGTCTGTTAGGAAGACGAAAGCGGGCTGTAATCCTTGAAATTAGTGTCTTGGGCCTGACTCTGGAATTAGGTGGCTTGAGAAGTGAGGCCAGTATTATCAAAGGACTTCGCTAAAAGAGGTGGTCTGTAAATGACACGTCTACGATACCCTTGCCAACCCATCTGCCCATCCAGCATGCGCTCCCCACTTACCCTCTCTTAGCTTTTCCTGGCTTGCCCCTTTTATCCCCTTACCATCACTTTTCCCTTGTGTTCTCTTCATATACTTGTTTGGAACTTGAAGATAGGAAGGGTTGCACTTCTTGGATGTCTCAGGTTTGACTTTGGTAGGTTAGTGATGTGAGAAGCGAGCCAGATGTTGCTTAATGCATGGGTTTTATTTCTATTTTATACGAACTTCGTGGGTAATTATGTGAACAGTTTCAATTCAGGAATCAAAAGGGGAAATGAGAGTCACTGACTTACTTCTGTTGCTCTTCTTTTGCAGGTGTCAACATCTGCATCACTTGCAGCAGCGTCAGTGTTGTAATCCACATCAACAGGGGAAGGTGTACATGATTTGAGTGAGATGAACAAGTCAATTAATAAAGGGCCAAGCAGAATGACGATTGTTGGTGCAACGCGTTTCAGTAGGGAGGAAATGGAGGTTGTGCGGCAGTCACCAGCCTCCGTTAACTATGCCTCATTGAGTACTGGTCGAGCAGGATCAACAACAGAGAGCTTATTCCCATATGTCGTGATGACAGGGTCCTAGACCTTGGGGGTGCTCAGGGTATAGGGATGCACCTGTTGTGGTGCCTGGTACACTTGGCCTAGCGGATCTTGGTGTCGGCCGAAGAATGATAGCGAGATCAAGTGGGGTAGTGCTTATGTGAGGTTGTGGCTGGCGCTTCCGCAAAGTGACTGGAATCGACTCCTGGACGCAAGCAGTTGTGTATATGTGTTAACGTCACTCAACCACAAGCTTGTATATGTCGGGAAAACAGTTAGATCACTGCAGGACCGGTGGGGGGAGCATTGCAGATCTGTGAATGGTAGTAGTAAGCAGAAGGTGCATTCATGGCTTAGGAAAGCTGGCACCGCTGCCTATGTTCCTATCCCGATTTGGTTCGGTAGTGATTCTGCTCTGGACAACTTTGAATCAGCCACGATCAAAGGTTTTAACCCTGGTTTAAACTCACGTGGAAAAAAGAAACGTGGAAGAAAACGGAGATCCCGGAGTCAGAAGAAAAAAACACACGTACTTACCCCGGTTCAAGTGTTGGAACCTGTGCTATTCTCTTGTATGGATGCGGAATGTTGTAATGAACCTGACCTCCTCCGTGTGTTAAAAATTCTGTCAAAAAGGGGGATAACTAGGATGATCAGGATGAAGAACAATGCTGGTGCTCGTTGGTTGAAAGCGTGGCATCTTTGTGCTCTATTGTATGGACACACGAAGATTAAAATACACGAAAAAAATCTTCTTCTACTTGATGCCAAAGATACAATTGAAACCAGCGGGGACTGGATGATTACTGAACTGATTCGTACTCGAACAAAGACTGAACAAAAAAAGGCCGAATTAATCTCACTCTTGAGAGCTCCCTAGAAACGAAGAGACCTGTTCAAAAAGAGTTTGGAAGAATTACTTGTGCTAAATAATGCGGTAAAGACAATCAATCAGCACCGTGGCCGGCAGATCGTCCGAGGACTTCTTACTAATGCATGTAAAAAATGTTTTGGTATCAATCCGCGGGCTTCTGTGACTATCAAATTTCCCTTTTGTACTACTATTGACAAACAGGAAGTTGAAGACTCTGTAAAGAACTGGATCAGTGGTCATATTCTACCCAAACTGCTGGCTGACGTGTATGTAAAAAGGACTCGGGCCGTTTGGCTGAAAGCGAAGTCGGTCGGAGATCTCTTACATAACCAGAATCGCTTCGCACAGAACAGTGAGTTTAACTGTGTGTGCGATAGTTTCGATCTGCCTAGAATCAATGGGCATGTCGTCGTTAAGCTCAGCGAAGTTGAGGGTATTAAGCCATTTCTTCATAATGTGAAAAATATACCATTTCCAGCATCTGTTGTTAACAAGGAGTGCCTCAACCAAGATGGGCTTCGAAACACCGGTCTGGTTACCGAGATGGTGAGAATTCACCTCAGCTCAATAAGTAGGAAAGGGGAAACTATGTCACCTGGGTGTGTACTGAGTGAATATGTTCTTGGCATTAAGCAAGCGTTCGAAGGCCTTGTTCTTGCCCCATTAGACCGCAACCTTAGTGAAACTTGGACTGAATGTCCAAAACGGTATGAACAAGGTCTTCAGAAAATGTTTTTGTGTAATAATAACTACGAAAGGGTGAACAATGATAAGGGTAAAATCATGCTTGACATGAAGACGCGGTATGTTGATGCCGGCCTGTCGGACATTGCCCCTGGAAACCAGACTAATAGTATCTGAAGCTAGGGCGCACATATTATCCGCTCACAAATTCAAGAATGCAGGGACTATTTTGTCCCCATACCCATTGAAGTACCATACTTACACATACTTCGATTCGTTCAGGTCTAGAAGGGCAAAATTCGCCGTGGTCGCCAACACCATCCTTCGGATTTCTCGGAACAGTAATGATGAGGGGACGATCTGTATGGGTGTCCTCACTCTTGCTGCTGAATTATAAAAATTAAACTACCCCCGGAAGGTAGTTTCCAAGGGACTCGAATGGATGAAAAGGAGGGATGGTTCCCCATTTTGGGAGCAGCTGGGGGGTGTTGTGGTAAACACGTTTTGAAATTTGTGCAGTCGTTCGGTAACATCTTTGACAGCGTACACGGCAGCTGGGCTTCTGGGTCACTTGTCTTGTAACGGGGCTGAAGAACACGTCTGCAAGGTTCTTGGAAAGTAGCAGCAGGCTATCGTCGGCAGACGATTCTCATATATCGCCCGAAGGTCAATATCGTAACGCTGGCCAAGGAAATCCACACAGGAGGTACTCAGGTACAACGACGCAGCAATAGGACGTTGTGGGGAATGTGTTGTTTTGTTGTTTCCCGCCTTTTTGAAAATCTGTGGTGCTAAGTTATTTATTATTTATTTATGTATGTTTTGGCGCGGCAGTCCGCCGCGCATTCGGCATTAGTCATGGCTCTGGTAAAAAAAGGCTGGGAAAAATCAGTAGAGGGGCTAGGATCAGGGCCCGATCCATGCTTTATAGGAAATTCTTTGGGGAAATTTAATTTTAAATCACTGGTAGTACGTGGGACTCCGTAGTAGACGGGGTGGTAAGTCGAGTATATAAAGATAGAGCTTGTAGGTTTTTTACCTCAATCTGAGTGGCGTATTGAGTGGAAGGGTTAAGCTGTTGGAGGAGGAGATGTTGTACGTCGTGATATTAATGCTCAAGGCAACTTCTTCTGATTTTTTCCATGTATGTTTAATCTTATTCTCTCATGCCTGGACTCATGGATCGTCAAATGTACCTGAAAGATGGAGAAGAAATAGGATCAACTATGTTGGGAGCAAAAAGGGTCGGGTCTGGGCAAGATGATGATGCAAATAGTGTCCACTGTTGAGATCCTAAAGAGAGGAGAAAACAGGGAGAAATGAAGGATTAGCCAGAAGGTGTAGAAAAACATTATGCACAGGGAGCGGTTTTTTTGTTAGGTGTCAAGTGAAGATGATATGGCAGAGGATAAGCACGAAAATGTCATGCAAATTTATGGAGCTGTAGGCACGAGCAGCTCATTCACTAGGAAGTGCATTATCATTTGTCACTTTCATTTTCCTTATTAAACACTTAGATGATACCGTTGTGGACTCTGAAAGTTTGAAGTGTAATTATCTGCGAAGAGGTGTACTTGGTTGTCGAAATACCTGTGTTTTTCATTTGTCTACTAGTTTGTCAATCTGTCCATTTGTCATAGGAGCTACATTGTCAGAGCTCAACTGAGCCTCTTGGTGGCAGAAGTAATACTCTCTCTCTCTCTCTCTCTCTCTCTCTCTCTCTCTCTCTCTCTCTCTCTCTCTCTCT